ATGTAGGATTATGCCGGAAAAATTTTGTGCGGTATCAGACGTGATCAGACATAGTGCCGGCAAACACATTATCAGTTGACCTTATCATAATGTTTAGTAAAGCCTGGTTTCCATATGATCGTCCCGATCGCTACAGTCGTTTCAAAATATTTCGAGACGATCCGGACGAGTGGGGCGATTGGTAGTTTCCATGTGATCGTCTCGATCGCCTCAAAGCAGTCAAAGGCAAGAGACGTAGGGTCGTCAACGATGTCTCTGGGTGAGACAATAGAATTTTTGCGCGTGTTTTTGGTATCTGCTTTTTCTCTTGATTTTGCGGCATTGAGAAGCTAGAAGAGTTCCCCGAAGACATAGTATCTCTTCGAAAACTTGATGTCACGGACTTTCTCTAATTTCAAATAACCCCCATACGCGCTGCGNAATATACAGGAAACGCAAGGTTCCATGAACAGTTTCAGCTCGATTTACACAGCTTTGATCAAAACATTCTCAGTTTCGAGAATAGTTTATTCTAAACCATAAGAAAGGATTAATTAGAAGTTGAATTTTTCGCTATTTCTCTTTCATTTTTTACGTTCAGTTCATTTTATTTGCCGGAAAGTAAGCCTTAGAAATTAGAAGGACGTTTGATCGATTCACGCTCGCGCATTCTAGTCTTATTTGAAACTTTATAACGGAAGGACATCTGTGAGCAGGGAATAAGTTAGCACAGAATTTGATTGTCGGCGAATTTCTGTAATTGTCCATCAATCTGCTAGTGATAAGCTAGCCGTTGTTCACTCGTCTTGCTTGTTTGAGGCTGAGTCTTTTTCAGGTCAAAGAGAGAGAAAGAGTGTCTGGCAAGGTTTCCAATATAAATCAAAGATTTGTGAAATCGTGTCTGGTAAACTCTCCAAGTGTTTATATATACACAGTTAAACGCACCTTATAACCTCATCTGCGCCTAACGAGTGGCTTTTGGTCCATAACTTTCAAAACAACTGCTCCACAGAATATTACTGCGTAACGCAAAAGAGTATCGAAGTATGACTGCACAATAAATGTCACAAAATCTACCTGAGCGGTCCCTTCGGGATTTTCTGTCTTTACGTCATCCTAACCATTTCGTAAACAATTACGTACCGATTCCTCGCGGCCCCTGTTCGAGCAAATAGAGATTTTTATAGTATACTGACCTTATATTTGAACTGTAAGTACTGTCCTTAATATACGCGCGAGTTACTAGGGTGCCTCCTCGGGATTTCGCCTCTGGGCGAAATCCCTACGGGGGCAATCACCGTTTTCATCCCTCCACTCTAACGGAAAAAGAGAATTTTCAAAAACTTACTGAGTAGGGTATGTAGGATTATGCCGGAAAAATTTTGTGCGGTATCAGACGTGATCAGACATAGTGCCGGCAAACACATTATCAGTTGACCTTATCATAATGTTTAGTAAAGCCTGGTTTCCATATGATCGTCCCGATCGCTACAGTCGTTTCAAAATATTTCGAGACGATCCGGACGAGTGGGGCGATTGGTAGTTTCCATGTGATCGTCTCGATCGCCTCAAAGCAGTCAAAGGCAAGAGACGTAGGGTCGTCAACGATGTCTCTGGGTGAGACAATAGAATTTTTGCGCGTGTTTTTGGTATCTGCTTTTTCTCTTGATTTTGCGGCATTGAGAAGCTAGAAGAGTTCCCCGAAGACATAGTATCTCTTCGAAAACTTGATGTCACGGACTTTCTCTAATTTCAAATAACCCCCATACGCGCTGCGAACGTTTGTGTATTATTTTTTCGGCTTCAGCGTCATCCGGGCCGAATTTATTCTCGATTACTGGAATAAAAGTTATGACTTCTGGGATAGCCTTGGATCGTCCCGATCGTCTGAGTCATCTGAGAGCATTTCCATATGATCGCTTCAAAATTTACATGATCGTCCCGATCGTCCGGATAGAACTCAACTCTATCCAGGCGATCGAGGTCGTCTCAGTCGTCCGGGTCGTTTGCGATCGTCTGGGTAGCGTTTCCATATGATTGTCCCGATCGTCTGAACATTTTTTGAGACGACTGGGACGATCGGGACGATCCGGACGATCATATGGAAACCAGGTTTTTTAATGTATGAATGAATTTCATAAATCGGAACTGTAGAATGAAGAAATAATGCAAAGAAGATCCTGGCAGTGAAAAACGCAACTTATATGCAGTTGCGAAAAGAAATATTGAAAAAATTCAAGCCAGAATCTTTTCGCAACTGCAATAAGTCTCGCTGGATTTATCAGTCTTATCACGACTGGCTGCCTCATGTCACTGTCGCAAGTTCTTGTACTTGTGCCCAATACATTTTGGCATAGTGGAAGGCCTAGCCACTTCAAATCAAATCAGAAGAAACAATCCGCAATGCCTCACGGGAAGTGACAAAGGGGCTAAAAACTGGTTAGCATCGGTTAGCATTAGATAACATCGAGTGAAGCCAGATTGGATGCTTTATGAGGTTTACACAACTCGTTATTCCCTTAACATAACGACACTGGAAGAGAACCCCACTTACTTTGTAAAACTGATGAAAAAAAAAAAAAAAACAGCAGAACCACAGAGTTATGGAAAGAACATACTAGAGAGTTAAACACTTATCTGCAGTGGTGAGGGTTAAGTGACGGCACTGAACTGAAAACGGTTAGTTTTCATAGACTATATAAGTACATGAATATTCTAAAAATTACTCGATTTGGCAGCTAGCCTTCGATAGTGTAGTGGATATAGATGTAGGTTATGAAGCAAATAGCTCGGGGTCAAAGCATCCCAGTTCCCGGTTCGTATTCTATATTACCAAGAGACTATAAAGGGGACAGAGAGGGCATCCCCCATATACACCCTATTCCATAGATAATTCGTCTCGAGTTATTTTTAGAATCGGGATAAAGTTACCTCGCGCGAGGTGTGGATGTTTCGTGGAGGTTTCGCATGACCAAACGCCGTGCAAAACATGTCGGGCGAGAGGCAATGAAAGCGTAAAAAGATCGAGAGCATTCCTGAATATTGAAGCGAAATGAGTCGGCGCTCACCTGGGAAAAAGGAATCGCTGGACTCTTTGACAACCCGTGAAATCAGTTTAACTCGAAGTTGTCGTAACCTCAGTGCTTTAATAAAATGAGAAATTTCGCCGGTCTATTGAAACCGGTCGTTTGTACAATTTAGGGAGTTTAAGATCCAACGACGCGGACGACAACTAGAACGTCAAAAAAACAATAGGTTTAATTAGCAAAACAACAACTTCGCACGTGCAACACACTTTTTTGTTCATTTCTTTCCCGTTTTTGCACGACTACGACGTGAAAATGCCTAATTTCGCGTTTTATGGAGGACGTAAATAAGCAACGACGAAATTTTATTTCTCTTTCTGAGCTTGAATATGGTCCCTTGAAATTCAGCTTTAGGAGGGTTCGCCTACAATTGACAAAGTAAGTGGGTAGGAATAATCGCTATAAAGACTGAAAAAAATAAACATCAAACCAGAAATTGCTCTCTTCAAACTGTAAATTATAAATGATCCTGAGAGAATATTCAGTGTGTTAAGGATTTCCCTGCTCTACTGTTAGCTCTATACAAGAGAGGAAGGGCGATTCTTTTTTAATTTCGGTTTCGCTGACACAGCTTTCGCAGAAATCTCGCTGTAGTCGTTTTCGTCGACAAAAGGAATAGCAAAATCGCTCTCCGCGTCTTCCCCCATTTTGTTCTGCGTCATTTCGTGAAGGACGCGTGGCTCTCAGCGTGGGTCATCCACGCGGAACACATTCGCGCTATGTGATTGGCTGTTGTCTAATCCCCCTCGAGATCTGTGGTGTTAAAAATAACTCGAAACGAATTACCTATGGAATAGGGTGTATATGGGGGATGCCCTCTCTGTCCCCTTTATAGTCTCTTGATATTACACAGTATAGTAAGACGTAAAGTAAGTTCTTCGTCATGTAATTTTACTGAAAGAAACAATCCGGCTTCAGTCAATGTTACCTAATGCTAACCCTAAAAACAGGCCGGCCAGACAAGGCCAGTTGTAAAGACAATTCTAATGTTAATCACGAATATCCAACCAGATATGTCTATTCCTAAATGGTGTAATCGGCTATATGGATTGTAGGGAAAGTTTCGAGAAAATACATATTTTATTTCCAAAATGGTCGGTCAGGCAGTTCTGACATTTCGGTAAGTGCCCTTAATTCTTTGAGGAACAGAAATTAATTTTTCTTTCAAAAGAAATATACATATACGTATATATATAAAAAGACTAAGACTGTTCTTACGGGGGAAAGAGACATAATTACAAACATATTTTTCTAATAATTAGCATAATTTTGAGCACAATGGCTTGGTTTAATGGGTTGATTGTACGAATATAATCCTTGCTTACGGACACTTCTACGGAGAATGTCTCGAATAATACATTTTCTTTGACCCTTTTTAATTGTCGGATGCGTGTGAATGGAAGTCCGCCAATCACTGGAGGGTCCTGGAGAAGAAAACATTGTACCACTTTTCTAATTAAAACATCCGATACGTGACCATACGTGTGGACGGGTTCGAACATGACAGCATAATGCACATTTTCGAATGTCCTTTGATCGTCGCTTAATTTTCCATTTTAGTTGGTTCGTTATTCTTCTGAGAGAAGGAAAGTATCAAATTTTTTTAGGCGCTCAAGCGCGCCCCTGAGAGGTTCAAACCATGCCAACTTCTTTCATAGCAAATTTAAGATTTAGGATCTGTGGAGATCTGAATAAAATCCCTTATTCAATTAACGCCAGAAGTATTTTAAGGAGAAATACCTAAAAAACTTTACTTTTTATGACCTCTTGTGCCCCTCAGTTTCAAACATGAATATGAAAAGAGCAGAAGATTAATTGAGAACTTAATCTGCATACGGAGACAAACGTGAAACATCTGTCTGGTGTCAAAAGCGTCTCTTTGTTTTCAAAGGACGTTGGGTCTCGACTGAAACACGGAAAGCAGTCGATGTCTCTGTGAGAAATGGGAAAAGGTGATAAAGACAAGGATAGCGAAGAGTCAGCTCAGCTTGTGGGAAGCACAAATGATGGGGAATCTAGCGCGGATAAGAAGCCTATAGGAGCGCCGTATAAATGCAAAGAAAAGCACTGTGGCACCTACTGTGTAGCTTGTTGTCGCTGTTTCTTCGGTCTCATTTTGTTTCCTTTTATGCTTCTACTCACACTGTTGGCCGTTTTCGTCTGGGTAATTCTCTTACCAGGTACATTTTTTAAGTCAACTACTATTTTTTTTATATAGTGTAGTTTATTCGTCGAAAAAGCTTATAAAAACTCAATAATTAGTAACCTACCCTCCGTCAAGCAAATGTAAACTCTGGGGGGAAATGAAAACAGTGCGGGAGCATTATTTAAGAATAAAAATTTTGGTCCTGAGATGATCGATTCATTCGTTTTTGTTCCTTTTTTCTACGCCTTCTTACCATTTTAACAATTTGTAATCTCCCGAGTTTTGTTTCTATCTCATTTCTTATGATAAACGTGCCGCTTAAAATCAAAATTAATATCGTACATCAATGGAACAGCCAATAGTTAAGCGTCAACCCAGCTTTTAAGATGCGCGTTGAGACCGGCCAGAATCAGCCTTTTTTAATGTAAAAAGTGCGCTATTGTATATTCATAATTTTCCAAGGGTTTATGAATATAAGGATTGGATTTTTGGGTCAACAAATGAAATTATTGTTCTAAGTGATCAAAAGGTGCTGGCAAGAGCCATTATGGCTCTTGGTACTGGCCGATTGTTGCATCGGCCCTTTGCGTGGTTAAGTATAGAAGTTCACAAAAATTGATGTTTGATGACGCCCTAAGAAGGCCCCAGGAAGAAAGTAAAAAACAACTTGACGTTTACGTTATTTGCATGAGAAACACCTTTCCTCTGATTATTAAATGCACTTTAATTCAAACCACTATTTTTTTTCGATATATCGTGAATTAATTCAGCTGTACATTTGCGCAGTAAACATATAAACTCTTTTTATACTCAGACAATCGTTTTTTTTTCCCCTTTTCAGTAAAATGCTGTTCGCCCTGTTGTGCTCCTCTCTTTGACTTGGTTGTACAGGTGTTGATGCTGCCCGTTCGACTCTATAAATGGATATTAGGAAAGGATGAAGAAGAAATAGCATGATCATACAGAATATTGACACTTTTCAAAACACTTCGGCGTCTTTTTTATAGATGTATTAAGTGTTTGAGGACAATAAATATTCTGTATTAGTCTTATGGGAATTTGATCATGATTAAAATTTAAAAATTTTCAGAGCTGAGGGCTTTGAAAAGCGGTATTAACGACAGTAACTGCTTTTAACGCGCTGAAGAATTCTCCCTTTATCTCTTGCTTATATTAATTTTCTTTGCGTCAGGAAATGTGGGTCTCATTTTTTTTAATCTCTGAAGCCAAATAACTCAATTTGGCTTAAATGCTAAACGTAGGTTAAAAATTAAAGAAGACGTTTAAAGAGCACATAAAATTAAACACCCAAGATGATGAATTATTATCCCGAGTAATGTAGCTAGTAAAATGTATGCCAATATACGAACGACATTAGTCAGTAAATGCTAAATCCTAAAAGGAAAGGGCCAATCATCGACAGGAGTGGAAAGCCACTTTATACTTAGAAATAGTAGTTAAGTGCGCGTAAATACAAACACCCCGCCAAATTCAACCAAATTTTCACGTAAAATTATTGTATTCAGACCACCAACACACCACCAACATGGCCGCCTTTTCACGTGGTTGCCAACAAAGAATTCATGGGAAAAGGTCAGCCTGCTTGCCTTCTAAAAATGTGTTTAATCAACATTGCCGAAACTGCTCAAATACCGCACACCAACTTGATTATCCGATCAGTTGGCTTGGTCATAAAACTGTCATTCATAGCACACTTGTTCTTGTCAGAGAAATTTTTTTAACGCCAAAGTCCGGGGCTGCAAGGCGAAAGAGTGACAGAAAGAACCTGTGCGAACCAACCCACTCCCCCTTCCTCCATTTTCTTCTCCGTAGTGGTCGTTCAGATATTGAGTTCAGTTCTACCTTTCCACTTTTTTGAACAGTTAACTTTCAACACTAATAACCTACTGTTCCACTTCAGTGGCCACAATAATAAACTGCTGAGCTAATAATCAAAATCCCGCCCAATGTAGGCAAAAAATCTCAAATCCTACGTAACCCTCTAAAATTTGCATTTTTGACCATATTTGGGCAGTGACGTCATGATCTTGTTTTTAAAACTCGTGGTTCGAAATTGGGTGATCCCGTGTGCAGCTGCTCGTTTACGGTTCAAGAGGCCCTAACAGGTAAGCAAGCTTTAATACGATTTCTAGTTTGAAAGGGGTATTAGTGCACTGGTTTGCTTTATAAATTGCGTTTAAAGCAGCAGCTATCAAGGAATAGGCTTTTACTCTCCAATTTCTGTCAAAACCAGCTTGTTCTTCGCAGCTCAATTTACATTGAGGTAGAGCGTTCGCCTCTCGACTTAGAACCAGGGTTTTCAGTGTTATTTTTTTCCTTTGTAAATTGAATTGTATGCGGTAGTTAGTCAAAGAATAGTGTTGTATTCTCAATAAGTTTATCAGACCCAGCGTGTTCTTTGCAGTTCGATTTACATTGAGCCGGTCCTCACCTTCCGTGAGGAATGCAACCCATTTGAGGACTTGTTTTTTAGAAGTTATTTTTGCCTTTAGAGAGATATTTGTCAACCAGCGTGTCCTTTTGCAGCTCGATTTACATTGAAGACAGCCCTAAACTACCATGAGGAATGCAATGAATTTGCGCGGGACCTTTTTTTTATAGACCGTCATTTGAATCATTTTTCCTTTCAATAGACTCTTTGTCCTGTGCCACTGACTCATTAGATCTTTGTATTTTATTCAAGTTCATATTTTTATACCTCCGGATACAATCCGCCTAATTCTTGCGCTTTTCACTTATTTTGCTTACACTTTTGATATGTATATTACCATGCGGAATATTTTTTCTTATCCCTGACGATGCCGTTGATTGGTGAAAGCTCGGAATTCAATTTTGATTTTTAATTCTAGCAGTCAAAGGTCTCACTTGAACTATATTTTACTTTCTAACGTTTATCAGTTTTGAATTTCCATAAAATATAAGTGCCAACTTGCACCAATTTACCGAACAAAGCTTCTTCGCTATTTTTTAATAGAAGTGAAGGCCTGGAATGTACCCAAGTTTGTTTTTCTAAAGTTGAGTGCCATCCTTTTCTATAGCGAAGTCCTTTGTAAACCTCTGAAATTATGTAACAAATTGCGAACATCTAGATAGGCACATTCCACAAAAGATAAACGAATTCGGAAAAATTCTAAAATATGGAAAGGTGCGTTAAATTGGATAACACCCTCGCTCCTCGGCCTTCTTCAAAATAGCGACCTCAGGCTACGCGCTCGGTCATTATTTGCGAGAAGACCTCCCAGCTCAAGCATTATCCTCGCTATATCTCAAACGCAAAAAAAAAAACATAAAGAGAAACCTTTGTACTTGCTATCGTTGTAAAGTTATCCACAATATAATCCCATTTACACTGAATACATGAAAAATAGGATAAGGTCTCGATAAGTTGGTTATTTGAATGAGCTGGCGATAAAAGTTTCCTTCCCCTATAATCCTACTGTTATAATGGGTAACAAAATTCTGGTAAAAAATTACTAGCAAAACTTTTTTCATCCTTATTTTCTTGCATTAAGATTCGATGAATATTAAACATTCTTCGAAAAAAAAAGCTAAATAAAGATTGTCAGATGATCAAACAAATCTATGGTTTTAAGTTTTTAATATAATATATCAAACTAAAAGCTTTTCAAGATATAACGCCTCTACTCTGTGTATTAAATCTACCACAAGTTTTAAATTTCCTTCGGCCGTTGACTAATGTCCATTTTTCACCCACATGGACACATCATTAGCGTCCTTATTTGTATTCAAAAGAAAAATCACCCCGCAATACAAATAAACCTAAACTTGCCAAATAATGATGTCATGCAATCATCAGTGGTGCATAAACACAAACAAAATCAACTCTTAGTGATTTTGTATAGAAGGAGATCATGAATATTATAGATGAATGATATTTAACTGTGAATAAGCTGAGTCATCCGTTTTCAACCTCGATGCTGATCAGTCTTCGTCTGTAGTGGTTGCCAAAAAAAATGCAAACTGAACTGTGAAAATAAGTTTGAATGTTATAACAAGCTGTTAAAATAGTCTCTTAAAGTTCAAATTGATTTAATGTGAGCAGTTTGCTTAAAATCTACCTTCAATCAGGTGTATTTGTTCCCGTGTCAATCAACACCAGCTATCACTAAACAGATAAAAAAGCCAACTAAGCCGCAGACTTACTAATTTCGCTGCTACATATTCAAGGTGAAACAACCTTTTGAGGAAAGAATCATCAACTCAAAGATGAGGCTTATCTTTGCGCTTCTATTTGTTCTTCTTGTGGCCCTGGTGTATGCTCACCCTTTTGTGGAAGACAGTGAAATGAAAAAAGAGAATTTACAGCTAAACGATAACGCTGAAACGCTATATAACGACGATGATGACGACGACGACGACGACGACGACGACGACGACGACGATGATGATGATGATGATGATGATGATGATGATGATGACAAGGTAGTGGCAATAATTACAACAATTTCAGTTAATGTTAAGTCTTTCTAGTGATGGAAGATTGGTTTGGCTGAATGACTCTCATTAATTAATTTGTTTCAGGTTGTGCATTATAAAGTCTTTCGCTCAAATATCGCATTCATGGTCAGAATGTATATCTCTCCTTGCGGCAGAGGTTATTCCTCAGGATGAGCGGAAAACCCAGCGTTAAAAGGGCTTGAAGTGGGGCGATGAACGTCGGTTTTATTACTAAGTCGTGCAGTAACGGCAACGAATTGTACTAAAAAGTAAAAAGCACGTTCAGAGTTGTTGTTTTATCACGTTCTCGTTACTCTCGCGCGCCGTTCGACAAATTTTTGTCTATAATAACGAATGCGTTAACTAATATAGGAATTTTGTTTGAGAAGACTGTATTTGTGTTTCCGTCATTGATAAAACTAACTTAATAAAATTCTTTTTTTGTAGGAGTGTAAATCAAAAGGAATACGAAGATGCTTTAAACCAAAAGGTCGCATTAACAGAAATTGTCTCCGCAAATATAAGAAGAGATGCCCTGTCGTAAGTAGCCTCAGTAAACTACCCGGTGCATGAGGCACGCATGCGCCGGTTGGGATACATTTCTTAAGTTGTTTGTTAGAGAACTATCAAGAAGAACGATAAGAAATCTTTGTCGTGTGATTCGCAGCGGGCAGAAGACAGTATGATTTTTTTTGCCTTTACATTTGACAAAAATGACAACCACACAGTATCAAATGTCACAATCCTACCGCTGTATTTGAACGTCACATTTGCAATTTATGTCAAATCATAGCCGTATTTATCATTTCTTTTGACAACGTCAATACAATTAGGGGAAGTGTACAGCTGAGTAAGTAAGTAAGTCATCCCTGACTACCCTATTTGAACTATCTTCACTTTGTATACCCTACGTGTCAGAGTCTTTTTTACTTTTTACGTATTTTTTTAAAGCCAACTGATCAATAAAGATTCAAATAAATTAATCAAATTTAACCAAAACCCGGTGGGTACTCCTTATAATGGCCGATACAGGGACGCCCTCCCCTTGCTTGGGGTCCAAAAATTAAATGGACGCCCTGGGGCGTCTATCAGATCATTAACGGTATGTTTAACCTGCGATCAGGTCCGGGGATCAGGTTGTAGACCGTGAACGGTCGTCTTTCTTTCCTCAAAGCCAAGCCCCGCGAGAGAAAAAATCAATAGTGTGTCAAGCTCAAGCCTACTTTGGTGCTTCTTAGAAACAGATCAACGACTTCTTCCAGATCAATGTATGTTATATAGTGGATGTGCTTAAGAGCGCGGGAAGACAGGCTCTCTTGTGCCGGAAATACTTCTTTTTCAGGGTCACAAAAAACAGCAGATATTTTAAACTATACTCTAAAACAAAGGGCTACACAAAAAAAGGAACAGTCTTTCAAGCACAAGAGGATGCGTGATCCACCCCTTGTGGGTGGCTGTTAAGAAGCCGATTGAAAATCTGGAATTTCCGATCCTTGATATGGCCTAATAAATGCGTATCTGGTCAACATTAAGCCAGACAGAACGTTTGTACTGTTCCTCGCCACAAAAAAAAACAAACAAAAACAAAAACAAAAACAAAACAAAACGTGTTCCAGTAAGATTTGCATTATTCTAATATGAAAGAGCTCGGAGTTGACTTATGCAAGCAACGCCGTTGACCTAGTGACAATGCAATTTTTTTAACTACAAAAGTAGGTTGGCTTCAATAGGGGCTTTAATATCCTGCAAGCAACGCTAGAGAGCTGGGTCCAGCATCTGTCAAAACCATACCATGGAGCCTCTTACTCACTGTTAAAAATAATAATTCTGATCCAACACTTCGGAGGAAACTGTGGAAACAAAGCCTAAAGGTTAGCGATCCACTTTTGAAAATTAAAAAGTAAAATACTGACATCTTCTGCTAGCGATCAAAGGTCAATTTCTGATAGAGCAAAGATAAGAAACCACAGGCAACCCTGTACAGTAAAATACCACATGACCTCTCAGTGAAAGAAAAGTGGCAAGGAAACATTTGCTCAATCGGCACTACGAATCCTTCAAAAGAGACCTTAGAGGTAGAGTCAATCTCAGGAAAAAAGCATTTTCTTAAAAATTCGTAGTTTTTTTTCCTTCAAATTTTTTCAGGGCCACAATTGATTAACTAACTACCCGGATTCTGAATTTCATGGTCATTGAAAAACTGTGACATTATCTTCTATAAGCCCAAACTTGAGTAAACATTGAAGATTTTTAGCGTTTTGGCTGAGTTTGTGCTTTGGGAGTTGTCTATTGTTTCTAGTCTGTCATTATACAGCATTCTTGTTCAGCACGCGTGCAATGACCGCGCTTGGCTGACTTCCGAATGCTCACCGAGATATAATAATTTTGGTACAGTGAGACAGGCCATCGCGTGATACATAGAGGTTTAAGTCACAATTTTTAATCAATTCTCGTGCTTCTTGTGCCTTTGCAAAAAAATCAAGAAGTGCTACACACTAAATCTACTTACTATTAAAAAAATATCATTTTTTCATAGGTTTAATGCAAGCCAATAATTAAACCAACTCGTGACGGGAATATCTCGGTGAGCATTCGGAAGTCAGCCAAGCGTGGTCATTGCACGCGTGCTGAACAAGAATGCTGTATAATGACAGACTAGAAACAATAGACAACTCCCAAAGCACAAACTCAGCCAAAACGCTAAAAATCTTCAATGTTTACTCAAGTTTGGGCTTATAGAAGATAATGTCACAGTTTTTCAATGACCATGAAATTCAGAGTCCGGGTAGTTAGTTAATCAATTGTGGCCCTGAAAAAATTTGAAGGAAAAAAAACTACGAATTTTTAAGAAAATGCTTTTTTCGTGAGAAGGACTCTTAAACGCTGACAAACGTCAACAAATAGCGAAAACTATAATTTCTATATGTTTGCTTTGCTCGAAATCGCGCGCATTTACAAGGCCCTAAAGCGTTTTGCTGACTTGCAAGGACCCATCTGTTATAAGGATGCCCAAAATACAGAGATGAATCTCATAGTTTATTAGATATAATCCGTGTAAAGTTTGCTTATCATTTTCGCATAAATTATGACCTAAATTTGGAAACCGCTGAATTTCTCGAATTGGGTCTTTGCGATTTTGGTGAAACTCTGTTCAGCGCAAGGCACTAATGTGCACTACGTGTAGCCGAGAGATTTTCACGAAAAAATGCCGGCAACAGCAGATTTTCGACTCAGACCTCAAAGGGGCGTGGCATTTTAACCACGTGACATTTGCTCCGATCGCCAAAAATTTAAGTTATATTGTAGATTGATCTATGTGTTATCCATTCTATTTGTTAGACTTACGATAAAAGTAAAGGTGGGGATATACCAGAGAGCTTCAAAGTAGGATGGTACCCTCCCAAAAAAAACTGGGTCGAGTCACCTTAAATTAAGAGAAAGAAAAAGAAAATTTTTGTGTTATGTTCACCTACTCCGTAAAGCGGGTGCGTAAAATTAGGAAGTTTCTTGCGGCAGAACTGCAACGACGGCTCAGACTCATACCCAGTCGCTAATTAAGTGTTTTTTGGGGGTGAGAGAATATTGGATTGTCGCTATTTCTCCTTCTTCCCTTCCCATGAGACCCCGCGCGCGCCTCAACCTAATCCCCAATCTTCTCTCACCCCAAAAAACACTTAAATAGCGACTGGGTACGAGTCTGACGACGGCTAAGAAATGCACTAGCGTGCAAAGTTGTTGTTTTGCCAATATAAACCTATTGCTTTTTTGCTGTTGTGATAAAGAAATTTTGCTCCCATGGTAACTTGACGTCACACTTCTCCTCAGACATACATACAAACATATTTTTATTTGGAGTCTTACGCAATAAATAGCATATCAACTATTTCCAAATTCTAAAATTACAAACAACAAAAATTCCTAACCATATATGACTAATAAGTTATTAATTAATTAAGTCCTAGAGTATTTACTTTTTACCGTCTTCCCCTTTCCTTCAGTTCAAAGCATTCGAATACATGTTTTGCTATTAGTTTTTGTATTTTAGCATTTCCGCTAGGGGGGGTTTAGAAACATGAATATTTTGTTAGGTGACATTCTGCTTATTTTTCTTCTATATTCTTTTTCCAAATAACCTAGTAACGAACATTTTTTTCCTGGTATTTAGAAAACGGTATTCGTCCTCCATTTCTATTTTACAAATTCGACAAATTCTTTCTGCAGGTTTCTTAAACAGTCTCGAATAACATCCTTTCTCTATGGCTAATTTGTGAATGCTAAGTCGGAGTTTTGTTAGAGCTATTCTGTGTCGCGTATTGGTGACCCGATGTAGTTGATCTTCACATTTGTAATTGTCTATCGTTTTGAATAACCGGTAGGTTCTCATTTTGCTGCTTGGGTTAGCATCTTTTCTGGTGTCGTTATTTATTTTACTTAGCCATCTTTGTAGTTCGATATCCTTAAGTCGTTGCCTGATCATGTTTACGATTCTTATATCTGCATAGTATGCTTTCATCCAGAGTTCTCCCAATCCTATCTGTTCCAATAAGCTTTTGACTTTTTTGCTCCGCTTTATTATCATTCCATTTAATGTCATTGTATGCTATTTGGGATAATTTGTTTTCATTTTTGGTTAAGGTTAACCAGAACTTAAAGATCCTACATTGGGCTTCAATTCTTATTGGAAACCTTCCTGTCTCAACTCTGTCCGCATTGTTTTGCAGTATTTATTAACTCCCAGCAACCACTTCAGGAATATATTTTTAACTAATTCTGCGGGATCCTTTTTCCCCTTCTCTATAAGCCTTTCAAATAAGCGTCCCCCCCCCCCCGCCCCAACAAATGGGCTTTAAAAGAAATAAGCCTCCCGGGGGGGGGAGTCTTAATAGAGGATTTACGGTAAGCAGCATTCGTTTGGACTTCCGCTACGAATAAATGTAATCCATAGAGCGTAATCTTACCATGCACTCGTTTCTGAGCATACGCGTTTTGACCTTCTACTGAGGTGAAACTTAAGAGCATCAGCGTTGGAGCAAGAGCATTTTGACCGTCGACCAGAAGCCTGAAACTCGCACGCCGGCAGCATACAAAAGTGTTAACAATTTTTTACGTTATCGATCAAAGCAAGATAAGATAAATTTTACCAATTGAAGATTAAAGAAAATTTATTACAAGAATTCGTTACTTCTTTTGATTGCTCCTACAGATGAGGGAAATTGTTTAAAATTTTGAAAATGAAACTACGGCTTAGAATAAATTAGTATTCAGAGCGGCTAAAAAAAGTGAATTTCGACTCAAATATCTGAAAGGGCAGAGCCTATTGATCCATTTCCTTCTCGGTATTGTGTCGTATCTACCATTTTTAAAAGGTTCAATCATCAATTCTTAATTGCCAGAGCGTAGTTTAACTAACTAATAGCTTTACATATAAATAATTTTCCCCGAATAATGTTAAGATCTCCGCGATCAAGCGTTTACCGTTACTGGTGGCCACCTTGGTTTCCAATGTGTCAAGGGGGGCGGGCGTCGGGGTTTGTGGCGGTAAGGGGAGGGTAGCTGCTTGCAATGCAAGCTCTCCGGGAGAGCTTGCTGGCAGGCTAAGGAAAGGGAGACGAGAAAAGCAAGATTTGATACTCATCCCAGAGTAGAATCGGTACATCTGAAACCAAGATGGCCGCTGATAACTATTTAAGTGCTCGATTCCGACGATCTTACGGGAGAATAGGGGACTGTAAATAGTCTATTTTCTTCGTAAAATCTTAGTAATAAGAGCGTGTAAATTCATTCTTAAATGTGCGGTAAAATTCTTGAGTCTTGGAGAGTACTGCGGAAAATATGCGGCTTGATGTTTAAAGAGCGGGATGAAAATTGTCCCCATAAGACTGGAGTAAAAGCCACTTTTACCCGAGGAATGAAAAATCTGACAACATTATTGACTACGCTATCGTACTTTGAAAATTTAGTGTGTAATTAAGAAGTTTCTGATTCATACTCTCCAGGAAACAAACGTTGTGTGATCAGAGAAACTGTGACAGATCCAAATTGTATCACTATCAAAGTTGATTGCACATATATGATTTAGGTTTAAGTACCAACAGGTGTTCGAAGCTTCCTTGTTCTGTCCTAAGCAGCTAGAATTAAGTATTAAAGTACATTAGTAAGTAAGCAATGATTAAGGAATTTTGGTCGTATTTAAGTCAATATTTTAAAGTATTCGGTCTTAAAAAACAGCGTTATACTGGACTGTGATTACAACTGACTACTCATTAGCAAATCAGATCTTGTCCGGTCTCTATCCGTATTTTTGAAAATAAACAGATCTTTCCAAGCTTTCTTAAAGTCGTGCTTGCCGAAAATGTACAAGCACGGATTTAAAACTGGTGACACAAACCGAGAATACGCGATCATGTACACGGCCCAGTCAGGTAGATAGAAGGCGCCAACCGCTTGCTGATATCTTAACAGAAAAAACGGTAGCCAACATGCAACGTGCGTTATGAACATCACAAGGAAAACGGTAACGGCTTTGCCTTCTCGCTTATTCCGCCGGTGTTCTTGCAAATCCGCCGGCACGTTTAAAATTTGTTGACGATTCTGTCGCCGTACTTCGCGAAGCGTCATGAGATAAGTAAATGCCATGAACCCCGTGGGTGCAAACAGATATACTACAAGGCTTGCTATACAATAAGCTACTTCCTTGTTTAAATGTTCTTCAGGAGTACTCTCGTCGGGATCGTAGTCTGTAGGCTGTATCCACCATAACTGAAGCAGTGACAACAGGAATGAGAAGGTCCAGACAAACCCCAGAGTGATATAGCAGCGACGCTTGGTAATGATCTGAGAATATCGCAGAGCAAACATGATAGCTATGAAGCGATCAGCAGTGACAGCCATGATATGCGACATGGTCAGAAAGGAGGTAAACATCCACACGTAAATAGTGGAAAAACAAACTCCGTGTTCCATAAAAATGTTACATGTGATAACTAGAGGTAGGCCGATGAGGCCTTCTAGGAGATCACTGGCTGCCAGGCCTATCAGGAAATTATTAGTTGTTGTCCTTAATGACCGCTTTTTTGCCACAAGGATGAATAGAAATTTTGCTCCCATGGTAACTTGACGTCACACTTCTCCTCAGACATACATACAAACATATTTTTATTTGGAGTCTTACGCAATAAATAGCATATCAACTATTTCCAAATTCTAAAATTACAAACAACAAAAATTCCTAACCATATATGACTAATAAGTTATTAATTAATTAAGTCCTAGAGTATTTACTTTTTACCGTCTTCCCCTTTCCTTCAGTTCAAAGCATTCGAATACATGTTTTGCTATTAGTTTTTGTATTTTAGCATTTCCGCTAGGGGGGGTTTAGAAACATGAATATTTTGTTAGGTGACATTCTGCTTATTTTTCTTCTATATTCTTTTTCCAAATAACCTAGTAACGAACATTTTTTTCCTGGTATTTAGAAAACGGTATTCGTCCTCCATTTCTATTTTACAAATTCGACAAATTCTTTCTGCAGGTTTCTTAAACAGTCTCGAATAACATCCTTTCTCTATGGCTAATTTGTGAATGCTAAGTCGGAGTTTTGTTAGAGCTATTCTGTGTCGCGTATTGGTGACCCGATGTAGTTGATCTTCACATTTGTAATTGTCTATCGTTTTGAATAACCGGTAGGTTCTCATTTTGCTGCTTGGGTTAGCATCTTTTCTGGTGTCGTTATTTATTTTACTTAGCCATCTTTGTAGTTCGATATCCTTAAGTCGTTGCCTGATCATGTTTACGATTCTTATATCTGCATAGTATGCTTTCATCCAGAGTTCTCCCAATCCTATCTGTTCCAATAAGCTTTTGACTTTTTTGCTCCGCTTTATTATCATTCCATTTAATGTCATTGTATGCTATTTGGGATAATTTGTTTTCATTTTTGGTTAAGGTTAACCAGAACTTAAAGATCCTACATTGGGCTTCAATTCTTATTGGAAACCTTCCTGTCTCAACTCTGTCCGCATTGTTTTGCAGTATTTATTAACTCCCAGCAACCACTTCAGGAATATATTTTTAACTAATTCTGCGGGATCCTTTTTCCCCTTCTCTATAAGCCTTTCAAATAAGCGTCCCCCCCCCCCCCCCCCAACAAATGGGCTTTAAAAGAAATAAGCCTCCCGGGGGGGGGGGTCTTAATAGAGGATTTACGGTAAGCAGCATTCGTTTGGACTTCCGCTACGAATAAATGTAATCCATAGAGCGTAATCTTACCATGCACTCGTTTCTGAGCATACGCGTTTTGACCTTCTACTGAGGTGAAACTTAAGAAAAGCATCAGCGTTGGAGCAAGAGCATTTTGACCGTCGACCAGAAGCCTGAAACTCGCACGCCGGCAGCATACAAAAGTGTTAACAATTTTTTACGTTATCGATCAAAGCAAGATAAGATAAATTTTACCAATTGAAGATTAAAGAAAATTTATTACAAGAATTCGTTACTTCTTTTGATTGCTCCTACAGATGAGGGAAATTGTTTAAAATTTTGAAAATGAAACTACGGCTTAGAATAAATTAGTATTCAGAGCGGCTAAAAAAAGTGAATTTCGACTCAAATATCTGAAAGGGCAGAGCCTATTGATCCATTTCCTTCTCGGTATTGTGTCGTATCTACCATTTTTAAAAGGTTCAATCATCAATTCTTAATTGCCAGAGCGTAGTTTAACTAACTAATAGCTTTACATATAAATAATTTTCCCCGAATAATGTTAAGATCTCCGCGATCAAGCGTTTACCGTTACTGGTGGCCACCTTGGTTTCCAATGTGTCAAGGGGGGCGGGCGTCGGGGTTTGTGGCGGTAAGGGGAGGGTAGCTGCTTGCAATGCAAGCTCTCCGGGAGAGCTTGCTGGCAGGCTAAGGAAAGGGAGACGAGAAAAGCAAGATTTGATACTCATCCCAGAGTAGAATCGGTACATCTGAAACCAAGATGGCCGCTGATAACTATTTAAGTGCTCGATTCCGACGATCTTACGGGAGAATAGGGGACTGTAAATAGTCTATTTTCTTCGTAAAATCTTAGTAATAAGAGCGTGTAAATTCATTCTTAAATGTGCGGTAAAATTCTTGAGTCTTGGAGAGTACTGCGGAAAATATGCGGCTTGATGTTTAAAGAGCGGGATGAAAATTGTCCCCATAAGACTGGAGTAAAAGCCACTTTTACCCGAGGAATGAAAAATCTGACAACATTATTGACTACGCTATCGTACTTTGAAAATTTAGTGTGTAATTAAGAAGTTTCTGATTCATACTCTCCAGGAAACAAACGTTGTGTGATCAGAGAAACTGTGACAGATCCAAATTGTATCACTATCAAAGTTGATTGCACATATATGATTTAGGTTTAAGTACCAACAGGTGTTCGAAGCTTCCTTGTTCTGTCCTAAGCAGCTAGAATTAAGTATTAAAGTACATTAGTAAGTAAGCAATGATTAAGGAATTTTGGTCGTATTTAAGTCAATATTTTAAAGTATTCGGTCTTAAAAAACAGCGTTATACTGGACTGTGATTACAACTGACTACTCATTAGCAAATCAGATCTTGTCCGGTCTCTATCCGTATTTTTGAAAATAAACAGATCTTTCCAAGCTTTCTTAAAGTCGTGCTTGCCGAAAATGTACAAGCACGGATTTAAAACTGGTGACACAAACCGAGAATACGCGATCATGTACACGGCCCAGTCAGGTAGATAGAAGGCGCCAACCGCTTGCTGATATCTTAACAGAAAAAACGGTAGCCAACATGCAACGTGCGTTATGAACATCACAAGGAAAACGGTAACGGCTTTGCCTTCTCGCTTATTCCGCCGGTGTTCTTGCAAATCCGCCGGCACGTTTAAAATTTGTTGACGATTCTGTCGCCGTACTTCGCGAAGCGTCATGAGATAAGTAAATGCCATGAACCCCGTGGGTGCAAACAGATATACTACAAGGCTTGCTATACAATAAGCTACTTCCTTGTTTAAATGTTCTTTAGGAATACTCTCGTCGGGATCGTAGTCTGTAGGCTGTATCCACCATAACTGAAGCAGTGACAACAGGAATGAGAAGGTCCAGACAAACCCCAGAGTGATATAGCAGCGACGCTTGGTAATGATCTGAGAATATCGCAGAGCAAACATGATAGCTATGAAGCGATCAGCAGTGACAGCCATGATATGCGACATGGTCAGAAAGGAGGTAAACATCCACACGTAAATAGTGGAAAAACAAACTCCGTGTTCCATAAAAATGTTACATGTGATAACTAGAGGTAGGCCGATGAGGCCTTCTAGGAGATCACTGGCTGCCAGGCCTATCAGGAAATTATTAGTTGTTGTCCTTAATGACCGCTTTTTTGCCACAAGGATGAAAACCACGGTGTTTAAGACAACAATAAGGAAAGCCAAGAAAATCCCAATAAGGTCAACTTCTGCGCTAAAATGAGGTGTGTAACAGCTTTCGTCGTCACTTTCATAGCAGTTTTTTCCTGTTTTTTCAGTCTCGTTTAGTTCTGTTTCACCGGTTTGGTTCCGCCGTAAACACATTGCGTTTTCAAGACACATGGTTGCAATATTCTATGAAAGACAAGTGCAGGTTAGAAGTAAGCTGTGACGAGAACTGTTCGTCGTGCTTTCTGTCTTATATAAAATTGTTTACATTATACTTAGACAAACTTAAAAGGGCAAGTGACACATGCGTGACCAACCCACGGCCTGGCATGGCCAGTACCTACCTACTTGCCTACCTGCGTTTAGGTACTGGCCAGGCCGTGGGTTGGTGTACGTGTGTCACTTGCTTTTAAGTTTGTCTTATTGAATTTAATGGCTCAAAGATCGACAGAAATGTTGATCTGCCTTCCCAGTGCAATACGATGATGTCACATCGTACAGCGCATGCCCTGCAAGGGAGTCTGTCTTATTTCCCTTCCCTTCCCAGACTGTTGGTTCCATATTGGAAGTGAAGTGCGGCCCCATGTATAAAGATCAAGGGGTCGGAACGGTAGTAAATAATGTCGTTCGGCCATTGCACCGACCATTTCACTACCGGGTCCGTGGCTGGGGGCGCCTGAAAAACAAAAAAAAAATCTATTGTATCTATTGTAGCCTGCAAGGTTGTAACGAGACAAAAAAGTACACAGCGAGGTCGAACTGGCTGTGAATATATATAGAAGAGAAAGTGTAGCTTCTTTAGCCCTGAAAGCTGGCTGTCAAAACATTCAATTTGATATTTTGAAAGCCGATTTTGTGAAAAGGAACAAATGCGCTAGTCTCGGGACGTGCAGTCGACTCCCGATAACTCGAACCTTCAAGGGAAATCGGAAAAAGGTTCGAGTTATCGGGAGTTCTAAGAAAATATCCGAGAGTAAGGTAAAAAACAGTTTTTACTGCACAGTGAACATTTTAATCACATTTAATTGTAGAAATGTTAAGTAAAAATTAAAAGCTACTTCTAGATTATAAATCAGAAAGTAACGTAACAAAACATAGCCTAAATAGAGCATGCGTTTTACTGTTTTGAGAAGAAAGCTGCTTCACGTTAGCCTGTGACAATCAACATCAGCCTCCACTAGTAAACTATACTCCTACAACACGTCAATAGGAAATCTAAAATTCAATGTTTCGGACGCCAGTAGACAGCTTTTTTCCCAACTTTTTAAGGGCTCAAAACATGGTTCGAGTTGTTGAGGGTAACTTGAATTATATAGAAAATGACCTGAGGGGAAACGAAAATTGGTTCGAGTTAGCGGATCCGGAGTTCGAGTTATCGAGGGTTCGAGTTACCGAGGGTAAAATTACAGTGAATGTATGACGGAAATCCAGGGGAAACCGATTTTGGTTCGAGTTAGCGCGAGGTTCGAGTTAGCGAGGGTTCGAGTTATCGGGAGTCGACTGTACTTTTGAGATCTCCATTCGCAGGTCTTCCAAAGATACGCGTTGAAGCTTTTACTGACAAACAAATTCAAACAGTTTCAATAATAGCAAAAAAACCGACAGCAGCTAGTATATATCTGTTGAGTGAAAATCAACGGCAGCGGAAGTAGAACGAGTAATTGCAGACAATAAATACATATATAAAAGATGAATGCAGCCCGGGGATGTGTGAACAAACCAGTGCAAAAGTTAATTACAAAATACGTATTCGACTGCTATGAGAAAAGAAGATCATTAATTGTTTAGGTTAACATTGATTATAGTTCCACTAGTGTGCAATTTGTGATATAATTTTAAATTATTTGGATAAAGTCGACATACATAGGACTGTATAAGACTCCAAATAAAACATTGTCATTGTCATTGTCATTGTCATTGTCATTGTCATTGTGTGTGGGGGAGGGGGGGGGGCGGAAACAACGGAAACCAGGCCTGACCGGAAACTATCGTCGGGACGGACTAGCTGGCAAAGTGGGCGGAATGACCTTTTGAAAACAAATCTCATAGGCGTTCCCTCCTCTCTCCCCCTCCCTCTTTTCTTCCTTATTATTTTATTTTCTCGCTCTCTTCCTTCGCGCCGCACTCCACTATCCAAACGCCTGGAACAGGTTACATTTTACTTTGCTGGACCTCTCTCCTCTGTAGAGGCCTCTTTGTATCGTAGGGAGGGCTACGAAGAAAGCGCGCGAGGGACGATGGGAAGGGGAAAGGGGAAAAAGCGTAGTTCCCCGCGCGCTTTCTATTTTTCGATTATTGCTATTTTTATTGGGATACCCAGAGGGAGCCTCTGTTGAGCAGAGAGTCGCTGGATTGGATGCTACGCGGCGGGGACTGGGAACTGGTAAAACAGTGTAACATACTAACAAATTTCCAAACAAACTCTCCGACAAATCGAGTTCTCAGACGCTTTCAAGACAAAAATAGGTAGCTGCCCTTGCGGGAAGCAAAAATACCATACATATTCGATTAATATTGGTTATTATTTCTTTACTGCCCCATCTGCATCTCGTCGACTGACCCATTTTCAGACGTTATGCTGTGAGACATCTTCAAAGGAACACCAGAAAGTTTGTTTATTGACTACTAAGCATGACTAAGAGACTTCCCTAAAAACTGATTTTTTTTTAAAATAGTCTTTCTTTGAATACACTTTCAATGCACAGTTATAAGAGGGTCTGAATGGGGGGGTCCACTTGTCGGTTGTCGGTTAAAATTCAGTTACTTTGTCGGTAGTCGGTTAAAATTTTCGATCTTTGTCGGTAGTCGGTTAAACTTTTTGATTTTTGTCGGTTGTCGGAAAATCTCAGTTTATAAGTAAAAACGCTTGTTAATTATTAATAATTTTTATGTATTTCACCCAGTTTCAAGACTTTGATCCCTAAGGAAGAGTAAAACTTGTGAGAATGCATCATTTGATTGCACTTAAGCTTCATTAACTCTTGGTTGTTTATGCAACATGATTGTTTATACCACCATTGTTTGCCAAATGAATATCATGAGTACTGATAAAATCACCAAACCTTTTATTGTAAATGCGAACTTGGTTTCCCGGTCGACTATAGAGCACAGTAAAAAGTAATTAATTAATTAATGGACTCCAGCCTTTTGGATAATTAAATTATTCTTACTGAAAAACTTCAAGGGGTGACAGGCTGCACATCTATACCTTTAATTTTTTTTAGCTCTAACAAGCATTTCCTTTGCCATAATTTTCCTTTCTCAAAGAAATAACACTTTAACCATCGCACGTACAAAGGGTGGGAGGGGGTGGTGGATGCCACCCCCTTAGGTTTTTCTCGGATTTTCCCAAGAGGATAAAACATCAGCACCCGACGTTTTCAGTAGATGTTCGTTTATCCCTTGCACCCATTTTGAGACACGTTCAGTGATGATCAGTTTCTATGGTTACGAGGTATGACGTAATAAGTAGCAGGTGTTCAAGCCATTTTGAGTGAAAATGTATTTTTTTCAACTTTTTTCAAAAATAAAAGTAAATCTTGTGGCTAAAATCATGCAATGAGTTATTTATGTGTTATTATTCACGTCAAGCAATTACCATTTCTCGCTATTTTAACCCGATTTCTAATTCTTGGTAAAATCCAAGATGGCGGACAAGATGGCGACCATTGGTCATGTCATAGTCCTCCAGCAGCGCCATCATTCATAAAATATACCTCATCTTGTTAAGAAGATCAAAGTCTTTCCAGTGAAGGCAAAGTCGCTTCGAAATACTGCAACATGTCAAAAATTCTGGAGAGAGGTTCCATCTACCCTCCTCTTGTACCATGGTGGGGGGTATGATTTTGCGTGTACGTCCGAGGGTTAAGTGGTTCTTTTAAAATTTGGCAAGGTAGTTGTTGGTTTTGTATGAGATTATACATTTTTTCATTAAAGCTTTTTTTATAATAGACACTAAGGGCTTGTATTGTGTCACGAAAGGCAATATTTCTTTTTCTTCCTCGTTGTTTTGTTTCAGGGGCGTTGCTTTCCTTCTGTGAATTTTACTTCTAATAGCAATTTTTCTTTCAAAATTGTGTGGCCAGCCTCTGCATGTCCATCAACCGGTTTTTGAAATCTGAAATACTTCCTCATAGGAGTTTGTTCTTAGGGTTCTCAAGGCTTCTTGTTTGTCAAATCCATTTTAACAATTGGTAGGTGATAAGAGGTTAAAATGTATATGCTGGAAGGTTTCCGTTTAAAATGCGTCTTTACGTCGATCAATGATAGCTTTTTCTCATTTTTCGTTGAATGTTGTGCCTTGGGTTACAACTGGGTTTAAAAAAATTGTCTCAGTGTCAGGTACTTCGGCCGTAAATTTCATAGCCAGTGCAGCAGTAGGGTGAAGTAGGTTTGATTGTCCCGTGAATTTGAAGAAATCTACCATGTCTGGTTTACTTATGTCCCATAGGGGAAAATATCATGTAGCGTTTTCAAACAGTTGGTTTAAAGACGGTTTTGCTTAAACTTTGTGTTTCAATAAATGCGGCCATGAAAATGTTGGAAACGAAACTGCTGTATGTGCTTATCGCGGTACCCTGGTTTTTTACTAATAGTGCTTACCATAAAACTGGAAAGAATTTTCTTTGATGATTAATCTAAGCATTTCTCGTACCAAAACAAGAAACGGTCAGTATTTTCACCTTTGTCTTTTCAATAAAATTTATAAAGTCGGTAGCATCTTTAAGGTTTGTCTTCTGTGATTATGATATTGGTTGTAGTAATGTACCCGTATCAACAAAAGAGGAAGTTCTTTCTGTTAGACCATCTGATGAGTCATAAATTTAAAGAGGTTACTTCCTAACGGCTAGAAAAAAATGCATTTTTTTTTCTGAAAACAAATATTGATAATGTCAGCCCATGTCGGTAGTCGGTTAATATTTTTCCTGTCGGTAGTCGGTAATTTTTTACTCGTTTTGTCGGTAGTCAGTACTATTTTTCGCCCTTTGTCACTAGTCGGTTAACCCCATTCACACCCTCTTATAATTCTGCACTGGCACATCTTCACGTTTTGCTATTTTTCACTGTTTTTTTTAGAAAATTAACTTTCCACTTACTGAAAATGATGAAAATTTAATAAACACCCAGCCTCGAACAAGCGCCCACTCTCAAGGTCC